CTGACCGTCAGTGTTTACGCCCACACTCTTGCGTAAAATGACCGTCACTCACAATAGTGGCTAGTATTTGTTATTCCGTGAATCAAGTGACAGGAAAGAGGATCTTCTGCAATGCTGATGAACTGAATAGTTCAAATGACACCCACCCGGCCTTTTCTCCTGGTTAGCACTACTCTTTTGACTGGTATCGGTATCGCTGTCCTCCCACATTGTGGCACACCGTGACTCAGGCAGCCTTTAGATATGGGTGTTGGCTAAAGAGTTCAAGAGTCATTTGCCTTTGAAACTACTGCACAAGCAGACATGTGATTTCCAAAATAAAAGTTTTACACAAGAGTCCGAAAAAGATAAGACACAGAAAGTAATGTTACAGAAAGGTTAGCAATGGCTCACGTATTTTTTTTTTTCGTTTAACTGATCTACAGAATAACGCATCAGCAAAAATACCTACTAATGGTACCACCTGAGTTAAAACCCAGTTTTTGGCAACTGTCTGCCCTTCTGGGACGTCTGGGAGCAACAACAGTGAAATTCCTACCATTTCCAGTGGAGCTGTTATGTGGCTGACCCTGAACTTTTACTTCGCTGAATGAAAGCAAGAGAAAAGCAAAATGTCCTAATTGGTGTCAGCATCACATTAAGATGTCATGAGCTAGATTTGGACTCACATTATCAAACAGCTGAGTTGTTTGTACGTATACGTGGCCGTCGTTGCCTTCGAGGTCACGTTTTTAGTATTTGTCAAGCCTAATTAAAAGGCCCCCTTTTTTACACATTTTAGAGGGGTTTCTCACTCCAAAGAGGAGCATGTAATCCTGGTAGTTTTATAACATTTGTAGACTTAGTATCCCTATAGATCTCCTGACATTAACAAATTTTACCTTGTTCCCAAAATCTCTTTCAATTTGATTATTTTCAGGCCAAGAAGATTTAAACAATAACACAAATCATATTTCTTCTATAGACTTGGCTTCCTGTTTGTGTGCTGAAGGCTCTTAAGTTCTGGGGGAAACAACTGCTTTTGAATGAATTATGAAATAGCTGTCACCAGTCATGAGAGCAGGCCTGAATGCTTGAACTTTGTATATCGTAGTCCGGCTCAGACAAACAGCCACGTCTTCAAAGCTTATTAAATCCTGTCTCAGACCTTTCTTTATCGCTGAACCACCAGATAAATTCTAGATGCCTTTCAAATTGAGTCGAACGCAGAAGACTCAGAGCTTAAAGATTGTAAATGCCAATTCATGTATTTGTCTAAATACCAAAAAAACAGAGTTTTCTAGAAGCTTATTAGAGCTGGTGAAGCTCTGACCACACAGAGCGATGTCAGTTAGTTACCAGCTTTATGGTTTCAAAACCAGATCACGGGAGTAAATTAGGTTTCTTCATCTATTTTGAATGTGTCTTACGAATCCCAAACGGAGTCTGGGAGTGGAGTGATCCTCCACACATCTATTCATGTGGTAGCAGACACTCATCCCTCCACAGAACAAATTGATTTCTTGGTCAGCGACAGAGAATACACCCATCCTCCAGACTCTGATTGCTCGCTGCGAGCTCTTCGGTGCATTACAGGGAAGCGCGGAGATGTCAGGGCTTCAGCGCTCCTCTGCCGTGACTAATCGGGGCTGGATAAAGTTGCTCAGTGGCAGATTAGTTCTAATATGAGGGAGAGTTGTACTGACAGATTCAATCCCTCTGTGTACCGAAGCAATCAGCACCAAGTGCAGCCACTTCTAGCTACTGTTGGGACTCCATGTAGATCAGAAGGACCGCCTTGTGTGAAATAGCCCTTTATGTAAGCACACACACACACACACACACACACACACACACACACACACACACACACTAAACAAGGCTTCTGACTCATCCAAGAAAGAAAACTATTAGGATTTTGGCTTGAATCATCCCTTGGTCATTAATCAACTTATAGGATTCCCTGCACTCTTTTATCCTCCTGTTAATACAGCTCCAATTTAGAGGACTTCAAGGGGGTCGATGGCACATCATTCAGATGGAAAAATCGATGACTCATGCATTTGCTGTTGCATGGCACGGACAAGCTCCACAGCCCCATTGATTTTGTTCTATTTTGGGCGGCAAGGTTCACCTCCCATATTGGCTGGTCAGAGCAAGGCAATTCATCTGGGGTCTAACACGGCCCCCCGAGCTGGTCTGCCGCTACCTGAACAAGCTTCTGGAATAGAGATCTGCTGCTAATGTGTGTGAACAGCCTTGGCGCTCCTCAATGGCTAGCAGATGTAGCTGCCAGCTGAGTCCATTAGTCAGCGAGGTTGAATTAGACACTGCCGCTGTCCCGCTCGCTCGTTCATCTCGCTAATGGGAGAGAGCAGAGTGGGTTTGGTGGTGCAAAAGGCGGTCTGCGTGCTGGAGGACAGCAGAGGTGGTAAAAGTGATGGAATGACGCAACACAAGGGATAGATGAGGCGAACACACTCAATCCTTGTGATTGGTCCAGCTGAGTGTCATGAAGTTAGAGATTAGGTCTGTTTGGAAAACACATGTCATGACATGACATGACATGACATGACAAAAGTTGGAGTTCATTTTTTTTAAAGTTCAAATAGCACGAGTAAAGGACAACATGCAACAGTGTCTGTCCTTAGGTGGTATTTTGATATTCTGGGCTGCATGTTATACACATTTAACTAAGAAATTGTTGGTAAACCAGCAGATTGTCCTGAAAATGCTGCATAGGGATTTAAGTCTGGTGATATTCTACATTTTCGTAAATCCCAAGAAAAGACCAGAACAAATAAACAATAATTGATCCGACTAACAAGTCTTGTTTCTGTGGCCAAAGCTTCTTCCTCTCTGGGCAATATGTTTCTTCATTATGATTAACACGCAACACTGTAGGTCATTTTAAGTCAAACCACATACGCTGTCCTATTGCCATAAACACTGATTAGCATGTAGTAATCCATGCTTCAAAATAGTCCGCAGGATATGCACAATTTACTCCTATTTACTCCAGATTGAGTAACATTTACTAAAAACTTCAATGCCCAGCTGTTTTAATAAATTACTGAGCTTCTTAAAAAAAAACAACATATATTTAAAAAAAATAATGAATTTTCTGTAGGAATCCGTGGGCGAAGGGGCTGAGAGCCACAGACGATGTAGAAAAGTCAGAAAGCAGTGCGAGACCGACTCATGCAATATTAGTTCTGGTCTTTTCACAGGACTTGTTGACGGTAGGCTTATCCTCAAGATTGGAGATACTTCTCCCGAGGAGATGAGATGAATGTGCTCGGAGAGTCATTAGATGACTTATGAACTCATATACCGCACCATAGGCTTTGGCATTAGAGAAATGAGTTGGAATAACACACAATAAAATCTTTAGTGCACTTTTTTTGGAGCACAACTACCCAATTTGCGTTATGTGCTTATTAGATTTTATTAGTCATTATGACTAATGAATGCAGTGGCATGGGAATTTATTAAGAGGTAAACGACAATAAATATTATTTACGAGTCTTTTTTCTCTTTGAGAAAGTTTTGAAATACTTGATGTTTCTTAGATTCTCGTGAAGGCAGAGCTTTGTGTAAGGTGCAATTTTTTTACAAACTGCCTTTGGAGCGGGTTCTTCCCCTTGGGGGTAGTAGTTTTACAATTTGATCTTGACTCAAGGTCCCCTTACTAGCCTTTTCCAGAGCTTTCAATCACATCAGGTGACCAAAGTTACATACTTTGGTCATGTGAAGACAACTAAGTAAACCTTCATGACAAATGAGGAAAATGTATCCACAGTATTGAAAGTACGATAAGAGCCAGTAAGTGGGCCTTGAGTTAAGATTGTTATTGTTTTATCTTTCAGGTTGTTCAACAGATGGTGGTGGGGGGGGGGGGCAGCCTGTTTATTCATCAACACTACAGTATATGCTGTTAATGTCATCACCCTGTCTCTCATCTTCACTTACTTGAATGTAATTTTGGTGATGCACACTAAAAGTAGATTTATTTAAGAAAGAGTGATAATTGCAGTTGTGTTTATACGTGTAAAAAGGAGGAAATGAGACACAAAGAAGCAGATTTTTTTTTTTCCACATGAACTGAGGTGTTTTTACTGCATTTCAGTAATAGAAACAGCCTTATTACACATTGTACTCACAGCGAAGAAGAAGACACGTCCTCAATGTCAGTGAACAAAGTGGGCTTTATGGAAGAGAGCCTGCGTATCGGACACAGGCTCTCTCCACTCAAAAGACGCACTCCAGACAGAATGCAGGCATTAAAAGCACCCAGTTGATGCCATGGCGGGTCAATACAACACACACAATGGGTGTAGATGTGATCGACAAAACTGTGGGGGAGGGGGGGGGGGGGGGGGGGGGGGGGGGATGGGGGAATATTCACTGACACAAAATCACTGGAATGGAGAGGACTTTTCATTCACTGGAGGACATGCAGTCACGCCCGTGAAAACTCTCTGGAGTTTGGACGTTTACTGGTAGCAGAGGATACTAACCACTGGCCTGTTTCTAGATAAAAAGTGATACTGTGGTGGCCCCTTTGCCTCCGCTGTTGGTCAGTTGATGCTCCAGTGATGCTATGCCAGTGTGGGGTCATGTTAAACGGGAAAGTTAGACCCTTCAGGAAGTAAAGGTTAGTCCAACCTTCCCTCCTGGGTGGTCGACACTTCTACTGATTACTGCTAACACCAGTTTTGTCCTTTTTGTCCACATGAAAAAAAAAACTTGTCTTGTGTTATTGTTCGGATTATGATACTCTTGCAAGTCATACACATCCATATAGATAGATGAACTCTTTTTTTTTATGTCAGCATACAAGGTAAGCTGGGTGACTATATATGAAGACAACAACTACAACTTTCACAGCACTGGCATTGGTTAATTTTAAATACAGTACTCAAGCATTGTTAGATTAGTAAAATAAAATGTAAAAAAAAAAAAAACTGAAACATAATACCCCCGAAAAAATAAGCTACTGTACGCAAGTTGGTTTCTCCCCTAAAATGTTTCTTTTGTGTTTCAATGGCATGATGTACATATTTGTATTTAACCATACCAAAAGACATTTATCCAAAGGGAAAATTGTCTATGCAGTGTATCACTTTGGACTTCCCTTAATTTCATACAGTACCATGCATTTATCTCATTAGTTTGTGTTTCGTTTCTTTTATTTGTTGTCCTCTAAATTTAGACTGAAATCATCAATAAACGTGTTAACATAGCGTTGTCTTCACATAGACTCAGGTAATGGGGTTTTAGTCGGTCATTTCTCGGTGCACATCCACCCTATTGCATGTTGACAGGTTTTGAAGGATACAGTGGCAATCGTGGGGTGGGGGTGGGTAGAGAGGGTGGGGGAATTGTGGGTAGTGGGGACACTGTGGGTCGTAGGTTATGGGACTTTTGGGGTGTAGGGTGGGTGGGTGGGTTTCGTCGGGTTGGTGTATGCCGAAGGAGGGGTTCGGGGTTGTCAGCTCCTAGACGACAGCCTTTGAATCCTTGCAGACCTGAGTGGTGGTGCCTGAGTTAGTCTGTTTAATGTCCATCCTCCCTCCCACATGGTTCACTGGTCTGAAAACACAAATAGAACTGTGTTAGGGCAGATTTCGTCCGAGACTTCAAGCAATGCTGTTAATAATCAGTCACGCGGTTGATAATTTGTTCTCGCTGTTCCTCGGGAAGATCCCGGGATTTAAGTCCTTCAAAGTATGACAAGTGGGAAAACCGAAATTGCTGCCACCGTTACTCGAGACACTTCAGAAGTCCTTGACCTCAATCTGTTTCACACCAAATGTCTCCTGTTCTGTGGTTTTCTTATCAGAAATGACTGTAATAACTGTGCGGGTTCAGAGAAAAGAAAAGCAGCTGACTTGGAGGAAATGGGTGTGTTTTCATGCTGGCAACTGCGGTCATCTGAAGCCTGAAGACCAGAAATGTGTTAACAACAATGACGACTTAATGAGTGTTAGAGTCCAAGAGGGGAAATACCGGAGCTAGAAATGAGCGATGAACTGCTCAGGTGAAAGTGTAATTGCTACCAACTTTTTTTTCCAAGGCACACCTATGAAAATACTCAAAATGAAATGCTTGACAGTGATTTCCTCCTTGGTCCTTCCTCCTTCCTTCCCTCCCTCCCTTGCTTGTTGTAGAGGGAAGGTACATTGGAGGGAAAGCCATCTCATGGAAGGCCATGAGCCTTTGTCGCGATCATGCAAAGTGCTGAGCACTGGGAGGAGTGTAGTGCATGTAAATATTGTTGCTTTTCCTATGGCAGAAAAATGCTGAGCGGAAATGTTGAACATGTGCGTGGGTGTGGAGGGAGCTGAAGATGGACCAGCCTGCAGCGCTGAGGATTTGCAAAAAAAAAAGCCGGATTGGCACAGACACACACACGCATGCACATCTGGCTCCTCACTAGACAAGCATCTGTCCGCCCTGATTGGCCGATTGATTAAACATCCAACACCGAGTGAGCGTCTGTCTGTGTTTAGCGTGATCTGTGTCCTACCGTACCTTGATGGGGCCATCCACCGGGTCCAGTCCCTGCTCCGACAGCTGTTTCAAGGCACTTAGAGCAGCCTGAGAAGAGAGGGAACAACAGATGGTTGATTGAGTGAGGGAGGAGGGAGAGAGGGAGATTGGGTGGGAGGAGAGTGAGTGTCACCCTTCAGCTGCTTTTCAAATAACACTTACTCTGGGAAACCTGATGCCAGCAGGACACTTTCCCTTCATTCTCTGTTGTTTTTGGCTCCTCTCCGCTGACTGTTTATCTAGCGTTATTGGGTTAACATTTCCACTTTATGTTTTGGCTGCTCTGCATTTTCCTAAGTCAGTCTGAGTGACTAAACATATAGCAGCAGGTCTGAAATACCTATAAATCATAAAAGGTAACACAACACACAGAATCTTAACTGTGCAGCCCAAAACCCACACGAAATAAGTGAGAAAAATAAACAAGTGTGTGTACAATTTTTATTGCAAATTGTTTAATGACTTAATTATGTTCAATTTGTGGTTGAGAAAGGAAGCTTTCACTGCAAAATGAGACTTTCACTACGTCACACTATCAAGGAAAAAGCTTTGAATTAACCGTTTGTGGCACATTTAGTTTATAACCACAACCGGCCATGTGTAGCAACCTAATGCCACGTCATTAAAGAACTATATCCTATCTGTATTTCCACGAATTCACGCTACGTGAAGAATTCAGCGGAGCCGTGTGCCAAGCCTCCATCAGAAACGCAATGAGGTCATTTCTTTCCTGCTCATCGCCCGCCTGCCTGTGCCAGCGAGAGGGGGCTGCTGGTGATATGAGGAGGGTCCGGCCTGCTATCATAATATACGCAACATGTGTGGGAGTCGAGAGGTGCAGCGAAGACTGACACACATGCTATATTAAGTGGGACTGGGAAGATAAACAAAATAACAAATGAAACCCGAGAGGCAGAGGTGTTTTCGTAAAATTTCCTGCACATTTTTGCAACTTCTGAGGGCCGATCCACGCCAGTAGTGACAACCACTGGGCTAAACCCATCGTCACCGTAAAGACCCCCCCCCCCCAATTAATGTCACAAGCAGAAAACCACTTGCGGACCACTTCTCGAGAAGAGCTGTTTAAGAGATCTTAACCAGGTTGCAGTTCCGGTCCTGACACAGATCCTTTCTCCATCCTAAAGATTGGCTCCAGATGTGTTTGCCCTCTCTCCCTTTCCCTCTGTCTCTCAGCTGGGGAGTATATCCCCCACCAGAACTGACACTACTGGATCTGGCACTGCAGACCTCCATACCAACCGCTGTTCAAACACAGTGAATTACTCATTCAGTATCCGCGCAGTAAGAACTCAGTCTGTTCTTGCGTTATCATGCTGTCTAACAAGGGATTTAACTGGCCTTTCAAAGCACCACCAACCGTTTTAATTGCATGCTTTACAAATGTTTTTGTCAACGTGGGCTTCACTGCTTTCAAATGGTAGATAGGAAATGTTCCCATAATTGACTATCATATAAAACGTGATGTTCTTACGCTGGTGGACACATAGTGTGATTTTGTGTGGACTAGCAAAGTTAATTCGGCAAATGTATGTGCATGAAAATGATTTATCTGCCTTTTGTTTGCATGTTTCATATTTCTTCAGTTAGTCATGTTGAATTTATAAATGCATTCCATCATTATTGTCGATTTAGTATTTTATTTGGGTGCATATTATTTCTACAAACTGAACTGAAACATTCCGACGCTGAAATGTCGAGTCCTCCCACAGTAGTTCCTAAACATACTGTACAGTCTATCTACATAGTAAATAATGTACTAATAATACAATAAATAAGATAAGAGTACTGATGAATAGTACTTTTACTTAAAGTGAACACTGTTGAAAAAGAACAACTAAAAGAAACCCATTCCATCACCTCTTAAAGCTTCACTTTATTATTATACATCTGGTATGAGAGCTAGCCTGGATCCCTCACACTCTATCACTAGTTAATCAGAGGCGAGATAAGGCATACGTGGCTCTGCTCAGTGAGATGTGACGACTGGCTGAGTTTACCTCATTATGGAAAGCCCACCAATGTCACTCTGTCCTTTATTCTTATTAGTTATATCAGCTGGTGCTGACGAATTAAACTCTCCCCACAAGAATATCTGAATGGCAGACATTTTTCCGATACTCTCGCAGACAGAGACGTCTCCATGTGAAGAACCGTCTGTATTTAAGTTAATAAGCACTTAAGAGGCATTTATCACGCTTTAATCCTCAGAAAATATAAATCCCGCTGTGTATCAACGTGTCTCTGTGGAATGTGATACGTAGAGGAGGATGTTACACTCTGTCACCTGTGTGCTCACGTCCAAAATCATTTTCTAAGTGTTTAACTTCAGATTATGAGTAACATAAACCAGGATTCATAATTTATGACTGACAGGTGCAAGGGGTCAAAATCTGGTTTGAATCCATCAAATTGAGAAAAAAAGAAAAAAAAGAGAGACTAATGCGCACAGGTACTGAAAAATGTGCAACTAAATAGTCGGACTGGTTTGAAAAATTGATACTGTTGGGTTAATACTCGAGGCTTTTTCTCCAGAGACCCAGAAATCAACTGGAGCCCCTCTAAGTCTGTAACAGACAATTTATGGTGCAATGTGTTTTTTTTCCGCCGTGAAGATCTGACAGCCAGCGAGATTTAGAGCTTGAATATACTTGCAGAGATTTAAGGCGACAACCCTGTAGAACATGACAGCTGAGGGAATGTTTTCACGATTACACTGTTAATAATCGTATCGGGACTCTTGATATCACCGTTTTTTGTTTTTTTTATATGTATCAGGTGTCATCTCACAATGACCAGGACAGTCTGAAGCGGAAAAAAGTCATTAAGATAAGAGTGGAAACCTAACGCAGCCAGATTAATCCAGGACACACGATCAGGTCGCACCTGATAAACAACAGGGACAGATCAATCAAAGTTTTCTCTGGTGACCAATAAATTGTAATCACAACCAACTTCTCCATAATTACCTTTTGTTTGTTGTATTTATTCGGGTTTGGGATCTTTCTCTCCTTGAGTAAATAGCTAGAGCCCATCTGTTGGAGGGGTGGTGGGTGGGTGGTTGGGGGGGGGGGGGGGCTGACTGGAGACAAACAGCCATAAATCAGAGGCTTTGGCGGTGGCAGCGCTGCTGATATACGACAGGCAGGCAATGAGGGCCGTGGCAGCCGATCCCAGGGCCCGGCAGCTCAGCGAAGGACACAAGAGCCTAAGACAAATACTGGGGCTATCTGCGGAAATGGCAGCCAGTGAAATCATTATTTTTCTAATGAGATAAGTTGGCCATCGTTAGAGGCAGCCGCTACACTGATGCATCAACACCAGAGGAGTATGTTTAGTCTGAGGCCGAGTTACGCAAGGTGGAGGTGTTCCATCTCTGTCACGGCACAAAGGGAGAGTACGAGGTGGGTGAGGAGACAATGTGCAGAGAGGATGCTGAGTCACTCACAAATGGGAGAGGAATGGAATGGCGGAGGCTTTTGGAAATGATGCTTGGAACTGAAAAAATGTTTCATTGGCCACTAAGGGCGTTACCAAATCTGAAGGCTAGAAATGAACTAGTTTGTTTTAAGTTTTCTCTTATCATGTCTGAAGTGGTTCAGAATGGCCACACTCAAAAAGTTATCCTTCATTGAGCTGCAAGACCCGTACATCTTTTTAAACATGGGTATAATGACACGTCTCCACAGGAAGGTATTCATAGAGTTGTGTAGAGAATGAAAAATAAAAGAAAAAGCTGACCAATCATCCACTTCATAGTGGAAGCTTCAGACCAACATTAGCACTGCGCCAAAACAAACAAACCAGTGCCTCATTCACTTCAATGAAACCACTGCATTGGCACAGCAGGGGGGGCTGACACAGGGGGGCTCAAACAACAAAGTGCTGGGTTGTTCAGCAAAAAAAAATAAAAAATTAAACCTTTTGCCGCAACACAATTTATTGTCATCTGGAAATGCAAACATACCTCGTAATGAGAATGGCATTATGTCGTTTTCACCAAGCATCCTGGTTCTCCTAGATCATCTTCCCGCCGGTGCCATTGACAGCATGCCCGTACTAACGCAGCCCTTTGAATTTCCTGTGGAGTACTGAAGTCGCCCTCATCACTCCATCTTCACCTATCATTCCTCAACACAACTTTAGATAACAACCCAGCACTCTCCATCAATCCAAGACTGGGAGCCAACCTGAAGCGCCCCACAGACCACTTGACACATCCATCTATCTATCTAGCTGTCCCGAGTTCAAAGGCTTTGGACAAACAGCGGTCCAATGCGATGGGGACCCGAGGAGGATCTGTGACCGTGGCCGAGCTTCCTGATGCGGATTGACAAGGGCGGCTCATTTTTCTGGGCCTGCTGCGCCCTTAATGGCTTCCCCGACAGAGCCTTCGCTTACGTCAGCGGCTTAGCCAAACAAAGGGCCCGGTCCCCCAGGAGTCCCTGGCACCGGCCTGATGGATCTGATGGATCGCTGGATCACACTGACCCTGACAAATCAGACCCCTGTGTCAGCTCTCTCTGCTGGACTACTGGGTTCTAGGGCATTAATGAAGACATTATGGGGAACGGGTGGCTGGCCGAGGTAAAGGTGTAAACAAAAAGGAGCAGAAAAATGAAATGTTTGGTGGGAAAGGAAGCGGAGAGAGGAGGGGAAGGAGGCTTCAATTCTTCGATCTCCATCACTTCACCCTCTGGCCCTAAGCAGCCATCAAAGACAACTGGGGAGGTCCTAATGAGGTGAAGACCACCAGCACATCATTCACTCTCACATACTTACATCTCTTTCTCTCCTCCCACTCTGAATCTTCAGAGCAGTAGAAGAAAGACAGAAGTTAGCCTAGTTTGAATGTTCTCTGAGGTTTATCAGATCGGATCCTGCCTCTGCTCTGCTGGAGGCCACATGAAAGCACAGACACCCGCTTAAGGTTTAACCCGATGACCCAATCTCAGGAGTACAGTGTGGTATGTCCCTCCTCACCTAGCAGATCCAGACTCCCAGGGCGTTCCCCGGCTCTGTACGGACCA